GCGGCTGACTCTCGAACAGGAGGAGAAGAGAGCGCAGGGGGAGGCTGCGGGCTCAATTTATAGAAACCCGGGGGCGCGGCGGCAGGCGGTGACTCTGACCCCGCCTCCCGCCGGGCTCAGCCAGTCCCAGTCCAAGGACTTGAGGCCTGAGCTACGTGCGCCCGTAAAACCGCGAGTAGCGGGGCCCTGCTTTCTCCCTGCTCTTTTTTTTTTTTTCCGCAGCCGCCTAGTTCAACTGGGCACGCATCAAGCGTGTGGGCCCCGACGGAGGGGGGAAGGGACTGAGACTGGCCCGATGGGAGGTGATCGGTGCTGGTTCCCAGGACTGGAGTGTGGGCAGCAGGAGACTAGGGAGTCAAGGACGGGGGCCCTTACACGCACGGATGAAACAGGACTTTGGGAGCGACTGAGATGGGGAATTGGAGCCCGAGCCCTGCACGGCTCGCGGCTGCACGCGGCCTGCCCCCTCCCCTTTCTTTCAAAGGCTGAGAGGCGGGAAAGTTGGGGAACTTCTCCTCGAGGCTCTGCGGTAGTGACACCGGAATAGCTGAGGCAAAGGGCTAGGAGGGGCCCGTGGGCCCTTCCCAGCCCCCACTTCCCCCTCCCCATCTCCTGGCTCCTGGCCTCTCTGGGACCGAGGCCTGGGCTGGGCACTGGGCAGTGGGGGCCTGGAGAGGAAGGAGGCTCGGGAGGCGGCTTGAGGGGGAGGTTTCTACACGGAAGGTCACGATGTCCTGCAGCCCTGTAGCTTGGACCTGATGATTAGGGCAGACAATCCAGGCCCTGTGTGCACCAGCGGCTCTCCCCGGGCTGGGGCCCCAGGCGGAGGACAGGATGGCTGGTGGGGGCCCAGAGGCCTCCCACAAAGTCACTCCTGGAGCCCCGTGGGCTGTGCTGCCTAGGGTGAGAGACAGTGTGCCTTTCACTCCACCCAGCCCGGGGCGAAGAGCGGGACGTGAGGGCGGAAGTGCCTCCCCGCCCTGGGACGTGCAGGCGAGCCAGGAGCCAGGGACTCCCCTTCACTGGCTTCGCTGGGGGATATTGAGGGCAGGGTGAGTCAAGAAGAGGAAAAAAGTGGGAAAAGAGGTCTTGGGCACATGGTGGGAACAGGCCCCCTGCCCCTTCCCACAGGGTATCCATTTCTCTGGTAGGAGGGCAGAGGGCCAGGTTTGTGAGTGTGGGATGGGAGCGTGCTGAACACTTGTAAGGAAGGGGGTGGGGTGGGGTGGCCTTGGCCCATCAGCAGGTGCATGGGAGGGGGATCCTGGGCCTCTTTGCTGGCCCAGCATAACCTGACACCAGCCCCCTGCCCTTCTAGCTAAAAGCCGTTTGCTAAGTTTAGCCCGCCTGGTGATAATCTTTGCTTAAAAGGCACCCACAGGACTCCAGTCCTTGTCCCTGCCTTTCTGGGATTGCCTTTCCTCCTGGGACCCAGAACCAGGCTGTGTCCTCGTCTGGCTGCCATTGGCATGGTTGGTGCGGGCTTTTCACAATGACCTCCCAGAGCAGAGTAGCAAAAGCAAGGCAAGAGGGTCCTTAATGGTGGAAGGGTGGGGTGGGGGAGTGGAGGAAGCCCCACCTCTGACTCAGCTATTCCTGCAACCAGGACCATTAACCCTTTCCCATCCAGAGCGTGAAAAGCACCTCCATGCTCCTGCACCACCAAGCGTGATTTGGGGGCGCCATCTTCCCCTCTGCCTCATGCTTGTCATTTTTCATTACTGTCTTCTCCCTGCTAAGAGGGAGCTCGGTGCCCAGGGAGCACTACTGACGTAGTGTGCTGTTGTCATGACAGCAGAGGCACCAGTGTGGTCACGACAGCCAGCTCACAGCCTCCTGTTCTAAGGTGACTCAGCAGAGAAGACTTGAGGAGCTGGAGAGGGGTGGGCAGGCTTCAGGGGCAGCCCGCCTGCAGCATAGCCCGCGCCCCCTGCAGACCCGGGAACAGTGAGGAATGCGGGAGACAGACCTTGTCTCCTGCAGAGCTGGAGGGGATCATGACCTGACCTGCCACCAGCCTGGCCCAGTCTGCTGCCAGCCTTTGGAGATGGGATTAGGGAACACGAGTGGGGGTGGGGTGAGGCACACAAAGGAAAGCAACCCTTGGTCTAGAGCAGGTTTTCTCAACTGTGACACTATTGACATTTTGGGCTGTGTAATTCTTTGTTGAGGAGCTGCCCTGTGCACTGTAGGCTGTTTAGCAACATCCCTGGCCTCTGCCCACCAATGCTGGTAGCATTCTTCCCCCACAGGCTATGACAACAGAAAAGGCCCCAGGTGTTGTCAAATGTCCTCTGGCAGGCAAAATTGCCCCCGTTCAGAAGCGCTGATCTGGAGCCGAGGCACTGCATAATTCTCCCGAGGCTGGCTGGTCACTGCGCAGGGTCCGGAGGTTGAGAAGGGAAAGGTGGCAGTGATAGGGCAGGAAGCTCATCTGCCATCCTGGGACAGGCCCTAGTTCTCTGGGCTCGCTCATCTCTCTCTGCACTGATAACCCTCTGTCTGCTGCATGAATCTGGGCTAATGTGAAAGATGACACAAAGACAAGCTTAGGAAAAAATGTCTAAAAGTATATAAAAACATTTATTCATTAGAAAACAAGGAGATTGGCAAACATATTCCAAAGTGAAAGCAGCTCAATGCAGTTCAATTAGGCTAATTTAAGAGAAAGGCCTTGCATTTTAAAGATCGTGTATGTACTTTTTTTTTGAGATGGAGTTTCACTCTTGTGGCCCAGGCTGGAGTGCAGTAGGGTGATCTCGGCTCACTGCAACCTCTGCCTCCCAGGTTCAAGCGATTTCCCTGCCTCACCCTCCCGAGTAGCTGGGATTACAGGTGCACGCCATCACGCCTGGCTAATTTTTAATTTTTAGTAGAGACAGGGTTTCTCCATGTTGGTCAGGCTCGAACTCCAGACCTCAGGTGATTCACCCGCCTCGGTGTCCCAAAGTGCTGGGATTACAGGCGTGAGTCACTGCGCCCGGCTGGTTTTGTTTGTTTTTTGTTTTTGTTAAAAGACAGACAAATATTTTACAAGGGTAACAATTAGAATTCCGGGTCACCCTACAAGTCCTAGGGTCCGTGCTGGCGGGGAGCGCGCGGGAGCGCGCCTCCTAGAGTCTGCGCCTGCGAGCCGATGCTCTGAGAATGGG